GGAAATTCCAAGAACGCAACATCTGAAGTATCAAAGAGTATTAGCCACGAATCGGTAGAAACGATGACGTGTCGATTTGGTTTAAGTGATATTATGAGAGAAGGTGATTGCATTGTTTGTAGCCCAAACAAAATGTTCTCAATAATATCGGACGCTATGGGCAGAGTGATTCTGATAAATAATAAAAAGGGTATAGCTTTGAGAATGTGGAAAGGATATCGCAATGCTCAGTGCGGTTGGATCGAAGTTACTGAAGAGAGAGATCGTGCGATACGTAGGAACGTTGATAAATCTGGACGTAAAGCTTTATTGCGCACCGCTCTGTTTTTAGTTATTTACGCACCAAAGAAAGGCGTAATAGATATTTGGAGTATACAGCAAGGTCCAAAAATTACTACTTTTACTGCCAGCAAAAATGGACGGCAAGTTGTATCTATCGCATCTCCTCTCCTTTGCTTTCAATTTCTTCCCTTTCATTCTGTCATACATGTACATGTCATATCAAATCATCTCGGCTAATATACTTTGCAGATTATTGTACATTAATTATGGTTTTCTGGGGGTAAACGACAATGTCATTTTATCGAAGAATAAAGCGCAATATTCCTGTATATTTATTGATCCACTTGGAGGATTGAAGGAGATTTGTGTTCCATTTCACTTTGCGCTCAATAGTAAAAACGGAAAACGAGCACGCGACATACATCTACTTAGGAAACTGAGAACGTTTCTGAGGGAGGAAGATTTCAATGAGGAGAAATTGATTTCCGTAATTACTAATACTTGTTTGGGTTTAGAAACGAATGAAGTTCGAATACAGACGATAGAAGTTTTAATGAATAGCAAACATATTTTACCAGACACTTTGCTCGCTGCGACGAATTGTTTTGTAGTAAAACGAGGTACTTGTATGCAGAGTCCACATTGTAAAATGTGCTGCTCAGATACATAAATAAATTATATGAGAATTATGTTTTGTTAATACTTTACAGAAGTAGAAGGAAAAGAGGAAGAAGAAGAAGAAAAAGAAGAAGAAGAAGAATTGGAACCTCCCGCTAAGATGCTTCGTCAATTGACAACGCAGTTACAACAAATAATTACATTTTATAAATATGTCGAGTCTCAACTCAATGTACCACCTGAGTACGATATTACGACTGATAACGCAATAAATACTAAAAGTTTATCTTCGATATTATTAACCTCGGAACGAGAAGTAAACCGTATTATCAAATTAGCTAAAATGCTAAACAGCTTCTTAGATGATAACATTTCGGCAGAAACTAAGGTCAAATTTAAGAATGAAAGTGCGTTCTTTGACTTTCTATCGTGTTTCGAACTGGGCGCATCGGGAATGATTGAATTACGAAAAGACATAAAGGAGGAGAATATACAGGAAATTTGTAAGTTGTAATAGTGTCGTGAATATGCTGTTATCAGTTATAGGATTGTATCGTACATTTTTATTTTATAAAATGTGATTTTTAATCATCTTTTAGCACGTTTAATGTATCAGGGACTGATGTATTCTGATGATATGAAAGAGAAATGGCAACAAGCGGCTAAAGAGAGTAACATTCAACCATTTATTTTCATGCGATTGGCATTAATATATTGGTCGCACAAGGAAGAAGCTACATTTTCAGAAATTGAATTAAAACACTTTACACAGCTGCTGCATGTCATTTGTTTCTTAACTGGTAAATTTTGTGTCTATTATTTTATGCTTAAAATATTACATATCCATAGCACGTATGAAATTTAATTGACTGAAATCAATCGACAGATGTGGAAGAAATATGTGTTGAATATAACGAAGTTTCCTCATGGTGGAAAAATGTACGCACTATTCTGACAGAATCTACGAAACCTTTCAATGCGTTTACTGCTGCGTTAGCTTGTAGGGCGACTGCTATGACTCTAGAGAAGTACAAAGAGAAATTGCAAAATGAGAAGCGGTTGGAGAATAATGGAAACGAAGACGAAGACATTAAAAATGGGAATAATGTAACTAAAACAGATGAAATACAGATTAAATCGAATGATGTTACACCGGATGATGAGACGTACAGTTCAATTAGTGAATGGGAAAATGTCAGTAATGATACCTGTCAATTTGCATTACTGATTGGGAACCTTGAGGATATTGCCGTTTTGAATGCTGTTATTAGGTGCGTTATTATCGCTAATTATTGGGAAGTGCATAAATAAGTATTATAATTTTTGACTACCATAGTAACAAACTATGTCTTAATCTAACTCTAGTCGACGAGTTGTATCGGATGAAACAACACGATTCTTAGCTCTACCATTTATGAAAAATGACACTTGTTTAGCATCGATCCTCTCCGGAGGAAAAGGTACATTAAAACTCTAGTATAATTAGTAGTATTCCATGTATTTGATATTAATAATACCATCCACCCGGTTGAATCAGGTTCAGTGTCTGAACTGGTTGCAAAATGGCTCAGCACAACAGGTATCGATCCAGCGCGATTAATCGACACGACCGATGTAGAGTTCGATCAGTTACAATTATCTGTAGATTCGTTACAATTCACCGATACGAATGAAGCAACTGCTGTCCAAGTATCTCAACAAGAACGGTCAAAACTTGTTTCTTTATCGATAGAGATTGGGGATGAAGCAAAAATTAATACGACTACGGAAGCGTGCATTTTAGGCAAGAGAAAAATATTTTTAAAAAATGATGCTCTCTAACTTTTTGTCGTAATTTAAATCTGTTGTATTTCTGCTGCAGACAATATGACCCTGCTCAAACGTCATTTCCCATACAGTTTAACGAGCAGCGTTTTATTGGCCAATTTATGCTGGGAGTTTGCCATGTCATGGGATAAAGATGTTACTCAACTAGATTCGCTAGCAGCTGCCTTAACTGTTTTACGACAAATACCTATGAAGAATATGAGACATGGTAAACATACTTTTGTATCTTTTTTTTTTCTCTTTCTTTTTCAGCAAACTGCTCTAAAATGTCAATATTTATGTAAATTTTTACTGCATGTGCATGTATATTTTTGCATATGTATATTTTTACTCGTTTATTCGACAGGTGTTTGCTGTCTGTTATGGATGCTTCATATAAAGAAAAGAATGGAAATGACGGCAAAATTAATGAATAAACTTGGAAAGTTGCCAAAAGAGAGATTATGTATGCAAGACATTGGTTTATCCGACGTTCAAGTAACAACGTTTTTACAGCACTGCGTTACTTTCTTGGATATATTTATTGATGTACGTAGAGTACGGAAAAATTCGTAAATTATTACGTAACGAATGTACGGTGCGGTGGGGAGGGGAGGGGAGAGGGGCAACTTACGCGTCGCGGCGTCGTAAGTTGTATTAATTTTAATTTTAAAGCTCCTGAATCTTCTAGTCATGAAAAGTGAATTTACGATTATTTACTGATTGTCGGGAAGGATAAACATATTTTTCGTCCATTTTTACAAATGTTTTAAAGCAATTTCATCATTTTATTTTTCAAATTATTCAAATTGTCTTTATTTATAAATGGCACCTAATAAAAGTTAACGTGTCATTTCTTGCTTCTAACGTCACGATTCAATATGGCTGTGATGATTACTCAGAAGCCTAATGTACAAATTGATTTATGTTACTACATAGGCTGAAATACTCGAACAAAGAGATAAAGTAGTAATAAAGTCGGAAGAATTATGGGACGGACACTTCGGTGGGCCACAACCATTTGCCACACTAGCTGTCTCCCAAATTCCAGCTTGGTACGACTTAATTTTGCTACACGTGCAAGTGGCTAATGTTCTATACATGATGGCATATCTCAACCTGAAAATACTGAAACCTTTAAATAATTTGTTCGAATCTGTGGTAAGTCTATAGCAAGATATGATAGTTAATTTGTGTTATACATTTGTTCGTTACTCGCCTAGGTACAGCCTTACCTTTTTCAAGACATAACAGACAAAGCAATTCTCACGTGGTACCGAGATGATAAGAGGGATAATATACGTACAGAATTTTTATGTAGAGTAATTACAGCATCGATGGAATTTATTCATCGCGAGACTACGGACGGTGTGACGGTTAGTTCGACACAGGCTGTCTTGTGGATGAGCAAATGTCAAATGTTAGCGTCTATTTGGAAAATTAATAATGACGAATTGAGAATACATCAAGCCTGTCAGCTGTACATAAATGGTTTCGATCGTTTGGCAGAAGAGGTGAATATATAATAACAAATTCATTTATTACTTTTGTACGCTTGCGCATTTACATGCACGCGCGCGCAAAATACAGATGCTTACAATTATGCTATATATATACTACATAAAACGTCTATTCTCTAATTATATCTATTCATTATATATATGTGTGTGTGTGTGTGTTGTTAGGTAACTATAACGGTAACCGATATTGAACGTCTAGCTGCAAATTTATTGCCTATAGCTGGAAGAAGAATGATGGCGTATCTCTCAAAAACACCTAATCTTTTGGAAGAAATGTCACGATTGAGTCCAGCGCTTACAAGATATTTGGAAAGCCTGGTAAGAGCTGGAAATCTATTATATTTGTCGATATTTTTGTCTTTGCTAACTTTTCAAGTTTTTTTTTCTTTTTTTTTTTTCAGAACATGCCTGAAATAGTCTATACAAATTGTTCGAATGTCGACACTGTGGAATTAATTCGACGAATATCAGTGCATTTGCCTAAAACTCACTGTGATTATCACATTATGTTGTTAATGTTAGACGCAACATTTATTTATGAAGACAACTAATTTTGGATTTTGTCAACTATATCCTGTGATACTAGGCAGTAAAAAACTGTGTGCATGAAAATAGAAGAATCTTATCAAGCTGTGTACAATTTGTATATATTGATACAACGAAACGAAAATAGACTTGAAATTTGTCTTCTATCAATGGAAAGACAATAAACGTTTATATGTAATGATATAAAAGGTAATGACAAGCTGCAAAATCGTAAAAGAAAGCACAAAGTATTACGTACTTTACTTTTCAGCGTATATTACATACAATTTAATTCTAAATGGAATTATGATACAATTCGATGTCTATAAGCTATACTCTGTTTCAAGGAGAGCGATTGTATATCTGTATGTACATATAATATTATACTTTATGTTTGCATGTTATTATACTATATCATGGAACATTAACACGTTCCGTGCCGCGTGACTCGTTTTTCATTCAAGCCATTTGAGGAGAGATACTTTGACTATAAAAAAATGTAAAATAATTTTGTATATCATTGCATATCATATCACGTAATATATATGATATTATGATATGATGCAATATTGATATGATACATTAGGTCTTCTTTATAAGATTTTTGTTATTTTTTTAATCATTATGAAATATATTATTTAATATTCATCAAGAAATATATATTATTAAGAAATATAATAAATACAAACAAAATATCAGTGATCCACATAATGTGATGGCATAATGGTCAAATCATTTACAAAAATAACGTGATACAGAAAGTGTTAATTAACCTCGTTCGTAATGCACGTATAATATATATCTAGCGCTTTACATTTATATTGTACACACACACGCACACATATAGTATATGTGTGTATAATTTTTAAGAATCTATACACATTGAGTTTGTCGTTGAATTTAAATTATAAATGTTCTAATTAACATTGTATTTATCGAATGTAACATTTATCTCGGCTATGTATCCTTATAAATAATCATATTTTAAAAATTTTTGTAAGAGATAATATAATTTGTTAAAAATACATTTAAAAAATATTGTGTTTCGATCGAATCGTACGTAAAGTGTCAAATAAAATATTTTATACAATTATCGCACAACACTGTTCCAGATGTTACGGAATTTTTGAGCATATCTTATACCACATGCAAATCAAATTAGTGTACATTAATATTAGAATTTAAATGTACATGTTCAACTGTGCATATATTCTTAGAAACGAATCATGAAACCTTGATATTGCTGCTTTGTAACAGTTTCCCAATTTGTAAACTCGCAGTGATGTATCTCACTATCTGGACTGCCCACTGATGTCAACCACTGGGCCCTGAGAATAAGATTTATTATTTTACACGATATATTAAAGATATATTGTAAATGCCGTTTTGCTGATAAAGAGCAAAATTGTCATTTTTTTTTAAGTGTGAAAACAGACGTGTGCTTTTGTAAGGAGTATAAACACAAGCAGCAGATATAAGGTCTATAGCTGAACTAATGCATACATTTGGAACTTAAAATAAAACAGATATATCTATATTTAATGTTTGGCGCAAGCGAAAAATACTGCATTTTGAATACTACAATCTAGTGTAGGAATAAAAAAAAAGATGTACGAGTGACAGACGAAAAATTGAATTATGATCGATTTCAAGTTTAAGAAGGCCATGCAAATGTTTGGTGTGTTGCCAAATGCGTCATTGACATCGTTATTTGTCGTTACCGCTGACAAAGTGCGCGTTCTGTATATGAATGCTTGACACGTTCAGAAATTATAATTGGCGAAGTGCTAATCGGACCAAGTGCAAATATTTTTACGCAAAGCTATCGAACTCTTAGTGATTTTGGTTGATATATTAGAGAAGAGGAAGAATGTGTGAGATGGTTGTTCACCTTAATGACCTTATTGTCTCTCATTGTTATTTATGTAGTGTTAAATTCTTTTATCTTCTTAATATCATATTATATACGCTGCAATTAGACTAGCACCGAGTGTAAACATTTTTTAAATAATAATTTTAACGCATAAGCAACTGCACTTTACGTGATTACGATCGAAGGAATGAATCAGCATTTAATTCCTAATCTAACTCACATTTCGAGAATTATTTAATTTTTTCATCTTAGTGTGATTCAACAAGCGTTTCCTCATTTTTTTTTGCTTAGTCATTCTTCTTCCAAGAGAAGAAATGCATTCTATTCTGTATTCTGTTCTCTTGCAGAATCGTAACACATATACGCACATGTATTTGTTATTTGCAATGAACTTGAGGCTCGATTAGCTAGTTTCCATTATCTCGAGATTTTTTTTAGGAATTTTGAAACTATTATTATCTTGTATAAAATAGTGTACTTTGTACCCTTCCAATGTCGACGGCCGTACCGATGCATAGATGCGAGATGTGGCAATCGTCGACGAAGGAAAGAGGTGATACACGTCGCAGCGTCATTATTTCATTAAATCATTATTAAAGTCAGTTTTCGACATATCGCTTGTTGTATAGCAATTGTTAGTCAAGGCCACGTACGATTAAGGAACCGCGCAAATCATATAACGCAAATGTTGTTCGTGTCGTCGTCGTCGTCGTCGTCGTATATAAGTAACGTAATAAATAAACCGATGGCTCTTTTCTCTAACTACTAAATATATTTTTCACTAATATATTTTTTAGCTCGATAAAGTGGATAGATTTCATTTCACAAGACTTACATCTGATCGACAAGCGCTCGAGGTCCTTGCATCTTTCCAAGGATCGTGCCAGTTTTACTATTTTTCACCCAACCACAGATTTTCAATTGCAAGCATATATCCCTCACGTACTTTGGAAAATATACACCTGCAATTTCATTGAAGAATCTTTCATCTTAAGATAATTAAGTTATCAAGATTGTTTTATGTATAAATATAAAGTTAGATGTGTCACGAGTGGAAAGAAAAAAAATAATTGAATGCTACATTTCACAATTTGACCGAATTTGACATCAATTGTGATGAAATTGAACCATGCGCACGCATTATAGGATAATATGTGCAGAGATCGGGAAGCGATAATTTAAAAAGTGTAAAAGTACTAGGTATATTCACATCTATCTAACTATCCATATACGTGAAAGATCGGAATCGCGTGTCCGATGTTTTGCAATATAATTTGCTACAAGGGATATATTAATTAAACAACGATGAAATGATGCACTTGAGTGCAGACTGCAAATCTAACTAATGGATATCAATGCAATTTATCATGGCAATAAAGTAGTAAGCGAGATTGCATGATGATAGTATTATATCCTGACAGGCATCCTAGTGAAGGATAAGATATTCGACAGTACTTATTCACCCTGCACTTTTCCAAAAACTTCAAACTCGACGGATACTAAAGGTTCCCGGCAGAGGGGATCATCCACCGCCTGCATCCCGTTCGAGATTGAATGAGACAGCAAAATTCGCGTCGATAATTCTAATGTCGAAAGTAGATAGAATGCGCACAAAGAGCTGGGTATACACTGCAGCTTAATCCGCGGTCACACCAGGTCACAGGTATATACGTTGAGCAGATTCTGTTCAATCGGACGCTCGTTCTCGTTCTAAAGTGGATGCTTCACCTTTCTAGCTTCACGGCTCGCCTTGCTAATAGCTAATTCTTATTGCGCGCCGCTGCAATAAGTCTCCAAATAGATTTCTCTCTTCACCCCACCACTGACATTGATCCAAACTCAATCGATCCTTTTGTTGCAGAGACTAATCTATTCTTACATTAATCGAACGGAAAAAAATGAACCTATTGCTCCATATTCAATACATGACTTTGTCGTATGTGTCACGGAAACAATTATATAAGTACTTTACAAGTATAAAGAAAGTTCCGTATGTACACTCGTTGTATATATGTAGATATGTACATCAGCGAATAATCGTAGCGTTACTCGCTAGAACGCTTCATCTATATTCTATATATATTATACATATTGGATCATCTAAAAAGTATCCGCGTTTTTTTGTCACTAGATGTGTGTTGATGGTCATATATCTAGTGACAAAGTATCGCGGATACTTTTTAGATGACCCAATATTATACACATCATCAGAATCGAAAGTTATTATTTAAAAGTAACAAATTACAATGACTTGTTACTGAATAGAAAAAGTAACAATTACTAATTATACCAATTTTTAAAAGTAATTTGTTACAATTACCGTTACTTGAGGAAATAACTTTTCGTTACTTTTCCATTATTTTTTTAAAATTGATGACCACCAATCACATCGGACAGGTGCCTAGAGACTTTCTAATCTCAAGCGCTACGAATGTTTAATTGTGTCCAATCGTGTGTAAAGTAACGATAAAAGTATCTGTAAAATTCGTTACTGGCGTTACAAAAAAAGATGCAACTACGTTACCACACAGTTACCGCAAAAAAAAAGGTAAAAGGTGCAAATTGTTAGTAAAGTTACCAAAAAGTAACTTGCAACTGTAACTTAGTTACAAATAACGATTCGAGTTACTTCCACTCCCTGCATATATTATATATGTGTATAATAGATAGTAATGGAATAATTGTTGTTATTATGCAGTGTAAGTTGAAACATAAATATAAAACAGCTGAACGAATATAGCGTAGCATCTGCTCTTTTTCCTCTTCATCCGAGGGAGTTGCAGATTCATTGTGGAAACATTAAATATAGGCCAGGAGGGCAAGCATTTATCGTCGAACTAAGCACTTCCCATCGTGACTGCCGCCTATTGTCCTGTCATTACATCCCACACACGGCTAATTAGTTATTAGTACGCTATGACGTAGTAATTGCCGAGTACAAGAGTAAAAAGTACGGGGTGTACAGGATATGAGGGAAGTTACATATTCTACTTATAACGATCTTGTTCAATCTATCGATGTTGTTATTCAAGGTCTCGTTCGATGCAAAATTCAGTGATACGATATGACTTGATGAAATTATTGCCGATAAGAGCTAAATCTAGATCATTGAGTTTTTTTGACGAATTATACCTATATATAGTTTACTAGTAGCGAAGCAAATAGCGAATTTGGAACAGGATTGCCAACTCGTCTTAATTAAAAATTATTCGTATTTACTACATATTACGAAGTAATTACAAAGACCTGATCTCATGAAAAAAATCGTCATTGACTAAAATAATTTTCTTTTTTATCGTTGTATATAATATATACTTGTTAAATTACAACATACACATTATATTATCAAATCGAAATTATAATTAAAATTCCAGCTCGTAAAAATTGTACGTGTATATATATTTCCCTGTTTATTTCAATCTTTTTATATTTTTATCATCTTTTCATTTATATTTACTCTACTTCTCCTTCCAAGAATTAACTAAATACATTTATTTCTTACGTGCAAAGAATATAAATATAACTAATAATTGTGAATCAAACATAAAGAGACTTTGTAACCAAGTAGCTATTATATACAGTTGCATTCGAAAAAATGAATAAATAAGTAGTGAATGCATATGGGCATCTATTGTTAATATTATATTTATTTGATAAGTCCCTCTTTTTCCCTCCACCCCTTCTCCGTCCTGTTCCTATTTATATATATATTACTCTATAGTATATATTATAATGCACTTATATATTATATATGATGCACACACATACATGTGTGTGTGTGTGTGTGTGTGTGTGTACGCGCGCGTGTGTATAAATGTATAAATGTAAATTCAGCTTTATGTTAAACATTCGTGTGTATTTTTAAATAAATATATAAATTTCTCTCTTGATACGCATGCGTATATATCAACGCGTGTATATCAACTATCAAATATGTACGTATGTGTGATACGCATTAAGCTAGATAATCAGTAATTAGCTATATAATCAGTTACACAAATTTCACAGACAAACACTCAACGGCAGCATTAATTCCTACTTGTAAATTCTTAACTTTCTTTGCTTCAATATGGCACATACATAAATTATCTTATATGTATCATATATTACTGCAGTACTATACATTGCAAAACTCGTAACAATGTTCTGTGATTTCTATGATGGTCATCATACAGAGTGCCGCAAACACATTGTTCACTTCGTATTGTTCGTTCACAGCCATACGTCGCTTCTTCCCGACCGTACTTTCTCTTTACTCCGTGTATTACCGAAAATGTTTTTTTTATAATGATCCATGGATTAATCACATGAATCGCACTGATCGAGTTATACCAACTATATATACGAGTACACGAGGGTAACGTACTTGATTTTCTATACATATATTAAGTATATATGCTATTCAGCTCCTGCCTCTCCCTTGAGAATAGTGTGACTCAATCTTTCGATCCTTCATCGTCATCACTGAATTACACGAATCTCGATAGACATACTAACGTGAAAGAAACTTCTACAAAAATCTAATGATACTTATTTCTTTTAAATTTGTTATCGTAAATGAAATAAATTGATTTTTTTATACTGAATGTTTATAATAAAGAAATTCAAATACGATATAAGATCTTATCCCTTTGTAAGTCATACAGAGTAATTACATTATTAATAAATCTATAGCGCAACCGAGTTCAAACTGAGTTTATCATGATCTTGTAAATCTCAATAGTGTAGATTTCAGTTTCGATTAAACACGATTACTACAATTACCGCACTTTTTTAAGATGACATAAACTTAAAAATCGACCAAAAGTTGATAGATCGTTTTGTAAAATGATTTTTCGATCCAATATGCGTTTCATTTCATTTCGTACACAGTATATTGCATTATTTATCTCTCTCTCTCTCTCTCTCTCTCTCTCTCTCTCTCTCTCTCTCTCTCTCTCTCACGCGCGCACGCACACCTAGGTTGTGTTTCAAAATTTATTGTCAATACTGAAAATGTATGTATGTATTACGTTACTTATTATGCACTACAGATTTTCAGTACCGGCAGTAAATTTTGGAACACAGCTCTAGATACTCGTGACAAAAATCCACTTGTCGTATATCGCTTTTATGCAAGAGAATCTACATTCACAGGTATAATCGACACCGTGTTCGGTAGAAGAGTTCCGTTTTCACTGTCTTTTTCATTTACATCGGTATGATCTACCAACAGCTTCTGCTGTCGCGCTTGCTTCTTCTCGCGTTCGATCTGGAAATGATAAAATAAACAAAAATAACGTTAGAAAAAAAACACTAAATACTTATATAAGATCGCATTAAAGGTCTCATTTAATTTTTTTCATTTCATTAATTATAAATATCATTAATATCAATTATAAATATCATTAATTATTAACAAATATCTCTTTTAAATTGTGAATATATACGTATACGTATATGTATACGTATACGTGTGTGTGTGTGTGTGTGTGTGTGTGTGTGTGTGTGAGACAAGATCAGCAAACCTTAAAGAATAAACGAAGGTAATGGCATGGAAACACAACGCATTGTCCTTTCTCTTCCTCGGCATCGATGTAAACGCCACGAACTAGGATAGTGTTGCTACAATTGAGAAGGACGAGAAAAACGAAGCAGCCAACGTGAGTAATCCAACAGGACAATTCCGGATTGTCCGGCAGCAGCCAGAGATCCAACGCATTCCATATGCCACGCCAGACGTTGACAGTCCCCAGAAAGCTCAGAAAAAGAAAAACGTCCGCGACCATCAAGCGAACCAGACCCTGAAGACGCGCGCAGATATACCGCATCAACGGTTGTAGACAAAACGTCACGATGACTATAAAATACCCGATAGCCTGGAATTCGGTAAGGAGATTACAACGTTATTTTTTATTACATATAGATCGATGTATTTTTCATCTAATGATATGGGAACTCGTACTCACTGTATGAATATATATATATATATATATATATTTCTATTAAAGGGAATATTAAATCACTCAGTCACTTACTACTATTTGTCTTCTACACTCTTTTAAAAAGGCGCCAAAGCCAAAATTCGTGCATCGAAAAAAATGAAAAGAAAACGATAATTTCGACGAATGATGATGTTTATGCCTCGACAAAGATTACATATCGATATGATAAATCTTAAACTGATATTCGACAAATCTCTTTTTCAAATCGTAATGTACTTAATTTAAGCGCGCGATCGCGATGCGACAAATGTAACGAATCACGGATAACGTAAAACGTACATTTCATATGCGCGTATACCGACAATTGTGCCATGTGCCGCGGCAATCATGCAATTGGCGAATATTCAATTATATAATCGAATACCGGGTGTGTAGTGCCATAGCCTAGTGCATGTACGTCGTATGCCTGATGCAATATAAAATTTGCAATTTTGAACGGATTTAAATTAAAAGTTAAAGGAATAAAGTTCTTTACACTTTTCTTCATGCTCACTCGTTCATTATTTGAGACTTGCAACGTCATTTTTTTATTTTATTTAACTTTTAATTTTTATCAAGTGTGTGTGTGTGTATGTGTGTGTGTGTGTGTGTGTGTGTGTTGCCAATTTAATCCGCGATTAATCTATGTCTAGCGATATGATAGTAAAGGCTGGTATTACATTTGTCATACGATAAAGATTTTAAGATTTTTATGATTTTATTGATTGGTTATAGGATAGAGAAAGATTCGACAATTTCTCTTTCTCGCAACCAATCAATAGGCTTGAAATGAATTCTTTGTCGTACGACCAAAAACGGATGATGATGTAATATTAGCCTTAAGTGCCTGCGGATTATTTCATATACTGGTGATATCAGATAGTGCGTTCAAAATTTTCCTCTTACGAAGCGAAATCGAAATGCTTAAATTGCATAATCAACGTATAAGGGTATATTTTTAATATATAATACAGTTTGTTATCAAATTTGTTATATAGACATATATAACATAAATGTCGAAACATTTATGTTACAGATGTTGTGAGATTTAATTGCAGCGTATATGCGTTATATGTGTATAATTTTATAAATGAATAAAAATGCATTCGGATTAAAAATTGGATTCACTTTAATGTTCGCGAATGCGTACGTATTT